TCACTAAGGATACTAGCAGAACTAGCGGATACTTCATACGCTCAATTTCAGGTCACTAAGGATACCATCACAACTAGCAGATACCTTGTATACTCAATTTTAGGCATTTTCACAAACCATCAAAATCAGGTCTATAATGATACTTTGGTACACCCCAATCACAAATCCGTTTCACTCAAGATAATACTTCAACTTCTTGTCCACGATTACACCGGGAATTTCTCGATCGTTTTTGTCCACTTCCAGTCCATCAATTTTAATTTAAAATTTCAACTTGTCCATGATTAGAACAGGATTTCTTTCTTCAACTTCCCAGCAGGTCTTTCTAAATGTGCTAATAAAGGTAATAAGCTGTACCTTTTGGAAATAGATGATTATTTTTATTTTTATTATTATTATATTATCATTATTAATACTGTTATTATTAATAATGTCATAATTATTTTTACTACTACTACTGAATTATTATACCATTTATTATTATTAATACTAATTGTATTATTAAAATTATGATTATTATTATTAATACTACTATTATTATTATTAACCCTTAAACTGTCCAAACATAGATCTACGTTTGCATGCATAGCGCTCCAAACATTGATCTACGTTCGATTTTACATTGTTTCTTATGTAAAAAAAAAGTTGATCTACGTTTGGAGCGCTACGCGTGCAAACGTAGATCTACGTTTGGACAGTTTAAGGCTTAAATTATTGGTAATCATCGAAGAGTAAACAATTTCAGTTCTTGGTTAACTATAAGGCCAAGAATAGGTACAAATACCAATAATAATAAAAATTGGTACAAATGCCAATAATAATATACAGTGGACCCCCGCATAACGATGGCATCACATAGCGATTTTTCCGCATACCGATTACTTTTATCGCAAAATTTTTGCCGCGCATACCGATTAAAAACCCGCTTACCGATTTTCGTCCGAGACGCGTCCAATGTGCCCTCACATGTGCCGGCCGTCCCATTGTTTACCAGCCAGCCTCCGCGGTAACATCCAAGCATACACTCGGAATATTTCGTATTATTACAGTGTTTTCGGTGCTGTTTCTGGAAAAATAAGTGACCATGGGCCCCAAGAAAGCTTCTAGTGCCAACCCTGTGGTAAAAAGGGTGAGAATTAGTATGGAAATTAAGAAAGATTTTGAAGGGTTTGGGGCTAACCCTGAGAAGCCTATGCCAGTTGTGGAATCCATTGTGCCTACTTCAAAGATTAAGGAAATGTGTGCACAGTGGGTTGGAACTGCAAACCTTTATAGATGAAAATCACCCCTGACACAGCTGTTGCAAGCCGTGCTGGTGACTATTTCAATGACAATGTTATGGCCCATTTTAGAAGTCTTGAAGGAACGGGAGGTACAGAGCTCTATGGACAGATTTGTTGTGCGACAGAGGTCCAGTGACTCTCAAGCTGGTCCTTGTGGATTAAAAGAAGAAGGGAAGTAACCCCAGAAAAGGACTTGCTACCTCAAGTCCTAATGGAAGGGATTTCCCCTTCTAAACAGTAAGAAGATAATGCTCTCCCCTCCTCCCATCCCATCAATCATCACCAGATCTTCAATAAAAGTAAGTGTCATTTAATTGTGCATGCCTTTTTCAGTTTGTGTGTATTAAAATTAACATTTCATGTGGTAAAAAAAAATTTTTTTCATACTTTTGGGCGTCTTGCACGGATTAATTTTATTTCCATTATTTCTTATGGGGAAAATTCATTCGCATAACGATTATTTCGCATAACGATGAGCCCTCTTGCACGGATTAAAATCGTTAACCGGGGGTCCACTGTAATAATTAATATAAAGAGCTACTATCCATAATAATAATTATAATAATGAGAATGTTAATAACGCTAAGTTTCAAGTGGCTGGTGTTACAGTGCGGCCGACTTGTTCTCTAGGGTGGTGAACAAGCGATAATAATGATGTTCATTATGTTGAGATCTGAGCTGTCGTTGTTAGTCTCAGTGACTGGCCTGTTCTCGAGGGTAGTTAAGGGATAGCTACAATCTACTCTAGGGTAGTTAAGGGATAGTTACAATCTACTCCAGGGTAGTTAAGGGATAGCTACAATCTACTCCAGTGTAGTTAAGGGATAGCTACAATCTACTCCAAGGTAGTTAAGGGATAGTTACAATCTACTCCAGGGTAGTTAAGGGAGTTACAATCTACTCCTGGGTAGTTAAGGGATAGTTACAATCTACTCCAAGGTAGTTAAGGGATAGTTACAATCTACTCCAGGGTAGTTAAGGGAGTTACAATCTACTCCTGAGTAGTTAAGGGATAGTTACAATCTGCCCCAGGGTAGTTAAGGGATAGTTACAATCTACTCCACATTAGTTAAGGGATAGTTACAATCTACTCCAGGGTAGTTAAGGGATAGCAACAATCTACTCCAGGTAGTTAAGGGATAGTTACAATCTACTGACCTGTTCTCCAGGGTAGTTAGGGGATAGTTACAATCTACTCCAGGGTAGTTAAGGGATAGTTACAATGTACTCCAGGGTAGTTAAGGGATAGTTACAATCTACCCCAGAGTAGTTAAGGGATAGTTACAATCTACTCCAGGGTAGTTAAGGGATAGTTACAATCTATTGACCTGTTTTCCAGGGTAGTTAAGGGATAGTTACAATCTACTCCAGGATAGCTAAGGGATAGTTACAATCTACTCCAGGGTACCTGGAGTTAACCTGGAGAGGGTTTCAGGGGTCAACGCCCCCGTGGCTCGGTCTGAGACCAGGCCTCACGGTAGATCAGGGTCTGATCAATTAGACTGTTACTACTGGCCGCACGCAACCTGACGTACGAACCACAGCCCGGTTGGTCAGGTACTAACTTTAGGTTCCTATCCTGCCTTTTAAAGACAGCCAGGGGTCTATTGGTAATCACCCTTATGTACGCCGGGAGGCAGTTGAACAGTCTTGGGCCCAGGACGCTTATTGTGTTGTCTCTCAGTGTACTCGTGGCGCCTCTGCTTTTCATCGGGGGAATGTTGCATCTCCTGCCGAGTCTTTTGCTTTCATAGGGAAGAGATAGTTACAACCTACTCCAGGGTAGTTAAGGGATAGTTACAATCTACTCTAGGGTAGTTAAGGGATAGTTACAATCTACTCCAGGGTAGTTAAGGGATAGTTACAACCTACTCCAGGGTAGTTAAGGGATAGTTACAATCTACTCTAGGGTAGTTAAGGGATAGTTACAATCTACTCCAGGGTAGTTAAGTGATAGTTACAATCTACTCCTGGGTAGTTAAGGGATAGTTACAATCTACTCCTGGGTAGTTAAGGGATAGTTACAATCTACTCTAGGGTAGTTAAGGGATAGTTACAATCTACTCCTGGGTAGTTAAGGGATAGTTACAATCTACTCCAGGGTAGTTAAGGGATAGTTACAATCTACTCCAGGGTAGTTAAGGGATAGTTACAATCTACTCCAGGGTAGTTAAGGGATAGTTACAATCTACTCTAGGGTAGTTAAGGATAGTTACAATCTATCCAGGGTAGTTAAGGGATAGTTACAATCTACTCCAGGGTAGTTAAGGGATAGTTACAACCTACTCCAGGGTAGTTAAGGGATAGTTACAATCTACTCTAGGGTAGTTAAGGGATAGTTACAATCTACTCTAGGGTAGTTAAGGGATAGTTACAATCTACTCTAGGGTAGTTAAGGGATAGTTACAACCTACTCCAGGGTAGTTAAGGGATAGTTACAATCTACTCTAGGGTAGTTAAGGGATAGTTACAATCTACTCTAGGGTAGTTAAGGGATAGTTACAATCTACTCCAGGGTAGTTAAGGGATAGTTACAACCTACTCCAGGGTAGTTAAGGGATAGTTACAATCTACTCTAGGGTAGTTAAGGGATAGTTACAACCTACTCCAGGGTAGTTAAGGGATAGTTACAATCTACTCTAGGGTAGTTAAGGGATAGTTACAATCTACTCCAGGGTAGTTAAGGGATAGTTACAACCTACTCCAGGGTAGTTAAGGGATAGTTACAATCTACTCTAGGGTAGTTAAGGGATGGTTACAATCTACTCTAGGGTAGTTAAGGGATAGTTACAACCTACTCCAGGGTAGTTAAGGGATAGTAACAATCTACTCCAGGGTAGTTAAGGGATAGTTACAATCTACTCCAGGGTAGTTAAGGGATAGTTACAATCTACTCCAGGGTAGTTAAGGGATAGTTACAATCTACTCCAGTGGTAGTTAAGGGATAGTTACATCTACTCCAGGGAAGTTAAGGGATAGTTACAATGTACTCCAGGGTAGTTAAGGGATAGTTACAATGTACTCCAGGGTAGTTAAGGGATAGTTACAATGTACTCCAGGGTAGTTAAGGGATAGTTACAATCTACTCCAGGGTAGTTAAGGGATAGTTACAATCTACTCCAGGGTAGTTAAGGGATAGTTACAATCTACTCCAGGGTAGTTAAGGGATAGTTACAATGTACTCCAGGGTAGTTAAGGATAGTTACAATGTACTCCAGGGTAGTTAAGGGATAGTTACAATGTACTCCAGGGTAGTTAAGGATAGTTACAATGTACTCCAGGGTAGTTAAGGGATAGTTACAATGTACTCCAGGGTAGTTAAGGGATAGTTACAATCTACTCCAGGGTAGTTAAGGGATAGTTACAATGTACTCCAGGGTAGTTAAGGGATAGTTACAATGTACTCCAGGGTAGTTAAGGGATAGTTACAATGTACTCCAGGGTAGTTAAGGGATAGTTTACAATGTACTCAGGTAGTTAAGGGATAGTTACAATGTACTCCAGGGTAGTTAAGGGATAGTTACAATCTACTCCAGGGTAAGTTAAGGGATAGTTACAATGTACTCCAGGGTAGTTAAGGGATAGTTACAATCTACTCCAGGGTAGTTAAGGGATAGTTACAATGTACTCCAGGGTAGTTAAGGGATAGTTACAATGTACTCCAGGGTAGTTAAGGGATAGTTACAATGTACTCCAGGGTAGTTACAATGTACTGACCTGTTCTCCAGGGTAGTGAAAGGATAATTGCAAGCGTCGAGGATGGCCAGGGTGGAGGAGAACTCCGGGTCACTCTGGAGGTAGAGCCTCAGGGCCTCCGGCCAGGTCAGAGCATCGATGAAATACAAAACGACATTGATGGAGTCCTTCTGGTCTAGGGGCCCAAAGTGGGTCTGCTGGGAGTCCTCTTCCCTGATGAGGGCCCTGAGGAGGGCCATGTGGACCTCGGCCAAGAGGGCCGACTGGTCCTCGGCTATGAGGGTGGCGCAGAAGTCCTCGAAGCGGGCCGGGGAGAGGCGAACCAGAGTTCGAAAGTGCCGGAGGACCTCATGGTGCCCACGGCCCGTTAGCCGTATGTTTTGCCCGGGACGGCAACAACAGGTCGTCGGAGGAGTTCTGCAGGTCCAGCGGAGGATGACCTTCCCGGTCCTGGAGCCAGACTGGCCACAGGACGTTGGGGTCTGGAGGCCGAGTGAGGGCCAGGCGCGGCCTGGCGTCCCTAGGGGTGCCATAACTGGAGGTGGACTCCTGGCCCTCAGAGAGGTAGTCGTCCTCCGTGTCCTCCATGTCCTCCATGTCCTCCTCACTCCCTCCTCCACTCCAGAAGTCACTCTCCTCCCACTCTCCTCCTCCTCCTCCTCCATCTCCTAAGTCGATCCTTAGAGGTACTCTGACTCCCGGTCCTCAACATGGGGGTTATAACCCCTCTTGTTCTTGCCCAGGGGGATCCTGGGGGGCGGCACCCCCTGGGGTCCTCCTCCACCGTCCTGGCGGGGGAGGAGGCCATGAGGGCCCACTCTCCTCCTCGGCCCTGCTGGCTCCAGCAGGTACCGGGGTTCTTGATCACCCTGCGGCATGCACTGTTCCCTATTTCATCTCAGATCTGTAGCTTAATACCGGGGTCGTCCGGGGCCGCCCTTCTCTTCCTCTTTCTTCTCAGACATCGTGGTCGGCGTGGGCGGCGCCGCCCACACCTAAAAACCCGTTTTACCGCCTCATGTGTCCATCAACGGCGGCGTTATTCCACCCAGGATCACCGACATCCAGAAATTACAGAAAATTTAATTATCTTCAAAGTATCCAAATCCTGGGCGCATTTTCCCCCTAGCAAGTCACGTGACCCACTATCTTGCTCCCATTTTTTAGGCCGCCATGGCGCGTGTTTCACCACTTATTTGGGGGGTAAATGGACTCCAGGCGAGGGCTCACACGGGCACAGGGGGGCAAAAGGTGCGAAATGTCCACTCAAAATATGTGAAGCTTTGTTTTAGCGGAATTAATAAAAGCGGACGGTGTCGGCCATAGCTTCCTCTAACACCATTGTAACGCCTTCTCCCATTGGCTCTCACCTGTACCCCTCATTTACCTTAATTATCTCACCTTTTTCCTCTCATTTACCTCATTTTAAACCCATTCATCAACCTCTACGAAACTCCCTCATCACTCCCCATTAACAACCTTAACAAATTTTTAAATACTTTAAATTCTCCACAAAATTAAAAGTCAACTTAGACGCTGAGTAAAGCTCTGGCCAATCAGGTGACGCTTGCTCAGCTCCCTAGGCACCATTTTGTGTTTTGACATTACCTATTTATTTCAAAGCAAATTTTGATTTTGAAACTCTTCAAAAATCATACGCAAAAATTTCAATATCTATTTTTTTCAGCCTTTAATACGGGAAAAAATTTCCTTAATTAACGCTATACGCACTGTCCCGAGCTGGCTCAAATACCTCTCCAAGGAGGCAAAAACCCGCTCATTTAGGCTATAAAAAAACCCACATTCATCAAGGTATCAATGTGGAAACATTGAGGAACACATTTTTTTGTTCTCAATGAACAGTAGAGATTTCCAAAAAAGTTGTATATTACATTGAGTTTATTTTGATAATTTTTAATAAACTTCGTTAAATTATGTTTAGCATCGTAATAAAGCATTTGATTCTTTATAAGTGACAGAAGTCAAGATCAAGAAGAGTTCCAACTCTGAGCGACTCACAGTTTCTGGTGTCTATAACCCCGTTATTGTGGTACACACACAACACTTTATCATGAGCACCAGCAGGAGTTTCTATCTATTACTCTATCTATTTTAAGTATCTATCTTTCCATTTATGTATGTTTCTATCTATCTATCTATCTATCTATCTATCTATCTATCTATCTATCTATTATTTTATCTATCTATCTAACCTTCTCTCTCTTCTCTCTCTCTTCTCTCTCCTCTCTCTCTCTCTCTCTCTCTCTCTCTCTTTCTCCTCTCTCTCTCTCTCTCTTCTTCTCTCTCCTCTCTCTCTCTCTCTCGCTCTCTCTCTCTCTCTCTTTATATTTTATATTTATATTTTAATCATTCATTTATCTATTAGGGATGTAGCTAAAATCTATTCAATATTTAATTATCTAAGTATCTAGATGTAGTAAGTTTATTTAGGTACAGGTACACATAAGTACAGTTATTATACCTAGTGTAATCATTAGGTTCCTATCTGTAACTTCATTCATTAGGTACCTTTTTGTAACTTCATTCATTAGGTACCTTTCTGTAGCTTCTTTCATTAGGTACCTTTCTGTAGCTTCTTTCATTAGGTACCTTTCTGTAGCTTCATTCATTAGGTACCTTTTTGTAGCTTCATTCATTAGGTACCTTTCTGTAGCTTCATTCATTAGGTACCTTTCTGTCGCTACATTTATTAGGTACCTTTCTGTAGCTTCATTCATCAGGTACCTTTCTGTCGCTACATTCATTAGGTACCTTTCTGTAGCTTCATTCATCAGGTACCTTTCTGTTGCTACATTCATTAGGTACCCTTCTGTGCTTCATTCATTAGGTACTTTGTGTTGGCTTCATCTGTAGGGTACCTTTTAGCTTTTCTGAACTGGCTCGTACCTTGGACTGGCTTTGACATGTAAGGCAGTCTATTCCATTCCTTTATTGTGTACTACAAAATAGTGTCTTTGAAACCTGACCACCTACTGTAGGTACTACATTGGTGTGTTTCCCAAATCCCCTTAGTACTGTACTGGTCTGTAGTTTCCCCTAAGTAATATACGGGCCTGTTTGCCCCTAGTTACTATTACTGGCGGTATTGCCCTAGTACCGGTCGGGTCTGTAGTTCCCCTAGTACTATTACTGGCCTGTATTGGCCCTAGTACTATACGGTCTGTACTACCCTAGTTACTATATTTGGCCGGTACCTTCCCCTATTACTATACGGGCCTGTATTTCCCCTAGTTATGTATGGTCTGTAGGTCCCTAGTACTATACTAGGCTTGTACTGCCCCCTAGTACTATACTGGCCTGTACTTACCCTATTACTATACTGGCCTGATATTTCCCCTAGTTACTGTACTGAGTCTGTACTGCCCTAGTTACTATATGGCCTGTATTTCCCCTAGTATCTATACTGGCCTGTACTTCCCCTAGTTTCTATACTGGGCCTGTATTGCCCCTAGTACTATACTGGCCTTTACTTACCCTAGTACTATACTGGCCTGTATTGCCCCTAGTACTATACTGGCCTTTACTTACCCTAGTACTATACTGGCCTGTACTTCCCCTAGTACTATACTGGCCTGTATTTCCCCTAGTACTATACTGGTCTGTACTTCCCCTAGTACTATACTGGCCTGTACTTCCCCTAGTACTATACTGGCCTGTACTTCCCCTAGTACTATACTGGCCTGTATTTCCCCTAGTACTATACTGGTCTGTACTTCCCCTAGTACCATACTGGCCTGTATTTCTCCTTGTACTATACTGGTCTGTACTTCCCCTAGTATTATACTGGCCTGTATTTCCCCTAATACTATACTGGCCTGTACTTCCCCTAGTACTATACTGGCCTGTACTTCCCCTAGTACTATACTGGCCTGTACTTCCCCTAGTACTATACTGGTCTGTACTTCCCCTAGTACTATACTGGCCTGTACTTCCCCTAGTACTATACTGGCCTGTACTTCCCCTAGTACTATACTGGCCTGTACTTCCCCTAGTACTATACTGGCCTGTACTTCCCCTAGTACTATACTGGCCTGTACTTCCCCTAGTACTATACTGGCCTGTACTTCCCCTAGTACTATACTGGCCTGTACTTCCCCTAGTACCGTACTTGTTCTGGTTACCAGCCTTGACAAACTTGGCAGCAATTTGTAGTTGTTCTACTGTCTTCAGGACTCAGGTCCTGTTGTTGTAACTCATCCTGTTCCCACGGTGTCTTGGACTCAGGTCCTGTTGTTGTAACTCATCCTGTTCCCACGGTGTCTTGGACTCAGGTCCTGTTGTTGTAACTCATCCTGTTCCCACGGTGTCTTGGACTCAGGTCCTGTTGTTGTAACTCATCCTGTTCCCACGGTGTCTTGACTCAGTCCTGTGTTGTAACTCATCCTGTTCCCACGGTGTCTTGGACTCAGTCCTGTTGTTGTAACTCATCCTGTTCCCACGGTGTCTTGGACTCAGGTCCAGGATGACTCTCACTATTTTGTTCGGGCTGATTTGTAGTCTGTCTATCAGCAAGAGTAATCTATACGACATTGTATAAGAGCTAAACCTCGGGTCCTCAGAGCCTCAATAATGCGATCCTTTAGAATTCAGTGGTTCCCAAACTGGGGGTAAATTACCCCCTGGGGGTAATTTAACCATTTTTGGGGGGTAATGGAGGGGTGACAGAAGAAAAGTTATGAATTCTGAAAATCCAGAAAACAATGCGGTACCCGGTATGAGGATTATTGTTAACTTTGTCTTAGTATATAAAGTTGTAAAGTAAACCTATTATAAGTAAGTAATAAAGTTAAACCAAATAACAATAAACATCAAAAACTAATATACAGTATTAGAAAAGAAGAAATATATAGCTAAGTGTGTGGAAACCCAAAAGTATTTTGACAAGTATGCTTCAGGACAAAAGTCGCTTGAATGTTGCAAACGATGCCAGGCTGGCACTTTCAACCACGAAGCCAAGAATTCCTAAACTAGCTTCAAGTATGCAACTCCATCCATCCCACTGATGTTCTTGACATCTTTGGTAATAGTCATTAGAGATGCACAATGTTCAAATACAATAAATAAAAGAAAATATCTCAAGTGTTTTAATTTAGCCATATATATCAATAATAACAATATTTTGTGAAAGGGGTAACATGCTTCATGTGGCATGTTAAATTGGGTAACAAGCTGAAAAAGTTTGGGAACCACTTTAGATGGTACACGTCACCTCACACAGTGAGCTTTATCAGGTCGAGGGTACACGAGTATATACAGTGTGGAGAGTCTGGTGGAAAATGTTGCAACTGAGACTGACCTGCCCGGGACGGGCGGGTATGTATGTTATGTAGGATAACCAGTGTCTTGGTAAGGTGTTCACCTATGTTGTAGAAGCCGTTGTTGAGGGTTTTCTTTTCTTGCGATGATGAATCTTGTGTCTCTCCAGTTGATTAAATGGTTGTGGAAGTTTTGGTGTTGAACGCAGGTGTTCCAAAAGAGGCGCCTCAGTTTCCCTGTCTCCTAATATCATGTCTATTTCTCCACTATAATCTACCTTGTAAAAAATTACTGTCATATTTGTCTTGTCTGTTTCATAAAGTGAAGTCCAGGATCTTTCCTTAATTCATGGTGTAACTTAACAAATCATTGTTGACAGTTGTGTTGTAGAGGTGTGAGTTTGGCTCTACAACACAATTGTCATCAAAGATTTGTTGTTATACCATGAATTAAGTAAATACCCTGGACTTCACCTTATGAAACAGACAAGGCAAATATGACAGTAATTTTAGACAAGGTAGATTATAGTGGAAAAATGAACATGATATTAGGAGACGGAAACTGAGGCGCCTCTTAAATCGTAGGTTTTTCCTGTGTACTGGTGTTCTGAAAAATGTGTTAGGAGGTCTCTGGAAGTCTCACCCACAAATTCCCACTCCCGCCAGCATACCCCACCAATT